GCACGACCTCAGTTTTGCTATGTTTGGCAATTCTCTTGCATACTCTAATCTTTGAAAAGCATACGTTTTGCAACAAGTGAACGTGGAAATTTCAGCATGCCTTTGCATGCATTTCTATCGCCCCTCCCGGTCCTACCCTTCTCTCGCAGCCCGCGGGCGCAGGTCTTGGGCGGAACGCCTTCGACGGCGTCCAGCAAAGTCTCGGACGCGTGGCCAGCGCCGGGGCGCTTGGTGTGTCCTCGCGCAGGCGGGGATGGCACCGGGCCTGGTTGGAGAGGCTCTACAGGGAGCTTCCAAGATGAGGTTGCACTTCGATGTTTTTGGTAGAACGTAAGACTTAAGAAGCTACGATATGATTGACTTATGATTGAAGAGTTGTGCAGGATCTTTGAAGAGTTGTGCTGGATTTTGTGAAGGTCCGAGACTGAGGTCAAACGCAAAGCCAAAGCCACGCATCAAATCCACCAGGATTTTCGCCTGATCGCCAGGTCTTTCGCGCATGCGAGGCTTGAGAGCTCAAGAGCTCAACAATGCACCCACCCCCCCATGTGTGGCTCCTCAGTGACTCATCGACCGAATCAGTACCTGGACGAAGCGGATCGGTACCTGGCTCGTCCCCAACGTGGCCTGGTGTGATGTGTCGAGAAAAGGGATGGTCCTGACTGGTGGGCTCATATATATGGGACTTTTGAGAGGCTCGTTCGCATGCGTGGCCCATGTTCAACTCATGATGATTTGAAAGAAGTGCACTGCACCATATGTGGAAGAAGAGGCGAGAGCGGTTTCTTCCACCACGGCGGGGTCTGCTGCGGTCCGCTGCGTATTCGGCATGACGTGCCAAAGCAGCAGGTGAGGGTGGTCCTGGAGTTCTTCCTTCAATGGGACCAAGGAGTGCCAGCCAAGGATCTGTCATATGTTCACCCCTGTCGCCTTCAGTTCGATCATTATAAAAGAAGGGTTGACCTGGTTTTGTATTCTAAAACGCTTATAGTGACTTGCAATGAATTGCATTGCAATGGTTCTTCCGTAAAGACCAATGGACATCCATGGACCAAAACAACAATTCTAGGTCTTCGGAATCCCAAATCATGGTAGGGAGAGGGAAAGAAACCAATTGGAAAAGAAACCTCTCTTTGTTGTGGGAAAACCTATCTTCAAAGAGGGAAAACCTCTCTTTTTGTTGTGGGAAGAAACCAATTGGAGGGCACGTTTAGCTCTGAGGAGCCGTACGGCGCTCTGTCGACCTGACCGGTGGAGCCCCTTCAAATCAGTCAAGGGATCGAACATGGTGACCTGGCAATGGCGGCTCCCCGGTCAGACCCACATAGAACCTGAGAACCACGTGAGGTTGTAAAGGAAAGTCGTCTTCCAGTCTGGTCCAGTTTCAGGTTCCATAATGTTCCATGTTAATTTTTCCAGAGTTTTTGGGCACTCTATTTTCATATGTGGAGACACCCCTTTTCCCGCATTCTACATTCTTCGGTTCCTGAACCCGGGTCGCAGCCTCGCGAGGTCTTGGAGTTCGAGGTCGTCAGCGGCGCCACATACTTAGCGTTCTCGACTTGTCTCGCCTGCGAAGCTGCCCAAACTGCCAAATATGGCCTATACATGACTGGCAGTTTTTTGAGGTCGTGAATGTAGGTCTATCATATTTGGCAGGTCCAATTGGTTGCGTGAAAGGGTGGTCGTCTATCCTTTCGGCCTCTCTTTTTGGGCCTCGGCTTTCTCATCCATCCCCAGACCATCGATGGGACTGGTCGAGTTCCGTATCCGAACGGGCCTTCTCCACCGAAACGCAGGGGTCCGGCCTCTCTTTTCCCAAAACCCGATGTGTTGGTTTCGGGCCCGGAGTCTTAAAACGGTCGGGCGGTAAAAGGCCGGAATGGTCACTACTATTGCAGTCCCTGCTGGGGCCGTGGGGTTCTTCAACCGTTGGTATGCCTGTCCCATACTCTTGATGTTGACAAGAAGAGGCCACCGTGGAAGGACATTTGCGCCAGTCATCCCTACTTCTACCTGGACCTTCCTTTCGCCCGGTGGTTTTTGAAGAATCACCTCTTTATGAGGCTATATAGACGCCTCCAATGGAAGGTCCTGGTATAGGTGCTGAGCTGGGAGGCCCAGCTGGCTGCCTATAGCGTAGCGGTACCTTAACTTGCTCGTTCCGGAGTTGTTCCCTGGCTATCCCTAGCTTGCATATTGTTTATGTTCGAGATGGGGCATTGGGCAATGCATTTGTTCCGAGATGTTTGGAGGTGCAACCCTAAGACCTCTCTTTTGATGATGGCGCCTGCCCCCAGGTGAAAAAATGCCGATGCTCCAAATTCCCACCATATGTTCATCCGCTTGCTGATGCTTTTTCTTTTGTTTTGTGATAGCACCGGTGTCGACCGGGTGCCCCCTGCTGGTGCAGTCGTTGCCAAAACGCGCTTTCCCGCGCTCCGCTGGCTGCGTTCAGGGCCAGCGCTTTCGGCTGCTGGCTGCCTTGCCCAACGGCAAAGTGGCCGCGAGGTTCCGCGAAGCGAGTCAGGCGAGTCCGCGAGCGAGGAGAGAGAGGTGCGTTTGGAGTGATTTTGGACGTGGCATTTGGAATGGAGTTTGGATCGGAACCGGTGTTCTCCTTTAGGACGGAAGTCGGAAGGGCGGAAAAGGGAAGGGATGTCCAATACCTTGCTCCCCAACGTCCCAAAGGGATGCTATAATGTGCCATATGTGCGCCTTAGAGGTTAAGGGCTATCACCAGGGGTCTATACACCACCCAGTTCGGGTGGTGTACAGACCCGCCTGCAGAAGGCTATCCAATAACCAGCCGATCTGAAACTGGGTGGTGCTGGTGATATCATCGTTCATGGTTGCCGAGACCAAAGGCTGCGTCTCCCACCCTTGGAGAGGAAAGAAACGGCTCCTTTTCACACAGGCTCCTGCACAACAAGCAACGCCTACACCCAGGCCTGTGTGTGGGATTCCAAAGAATCGGGTGCGTCGAGGGATTCTTTCACATGGGATGCCGCATGGGTAAATCAAGCTGCGGCGACGTTTGGTGAAGCATGTGAAGATCCACCAAAGGATGGCCATGCCATCGCAGCAGCAGGAGCTGCCGGGGGTTTTAAGATGTTTCAACTGTTTTCAAGCTACGTTCACTGGGCTTTGACCGTCTTCTAGTGGGCAGCAAGGACTCGAAGCGTCATGGAAAAGTGTGACAAACACCGAACCAAAGCTGTACTTAATTGGAGCTGCGGGGACGTGATTTGAAAGGCTTGAGCAGTTCTTTTTGAGTCCAAGATACTGCAACGTTGGACTCAAACAGTCTGTGTAGACCAGTGACCAAGTGGTTTGGATCCGCATGGATCCCCCACCGTTTCTCCATTCTCAACCGGTCCCAAGGCTGGATCGGAATTGGTTCCAGTGGTGGGTTCCAACCATATTAACGTTCTGGTTGGGACTGGGTTCTGGTTGGTCATTCTTTTCCTTTTTGTACGAGGTACAGGTACAGGAGATGACTCCGCCTTCGAGGTCATATCTTCTATATGTCATCTCCCTGGCAGTCCAGTCAACTGGTTGAAACATGGCGCGGTGCTGGCCCGGTGACCCGGTCGTGGGCATCAACGGACCAGCTGTCTCCGTTGGTTCAATGGACATTCCCCAGTCGGACCCGTTTCTCCTTCCAATGAGCCTTTCCCCCTAAAAAGGGGGCTCTTTGAGACAAGTCTTGGACATTTTAAACTACCGTATTTCATGTGTTAAGTAAAGAAAAGGAATTGACCAGCTACGAAAGGCGCACTTTTTCCGCATGTCCACGTTTTCTGTAGGTCCTACGTAATTATGTTCACTAGTTAGATTGCAGCTCTCATTTCTTCGAGGTATTGTTGAACCTGCGCCCATTCATCCACCGCTGGTCCGTGTTCGTTCCACACGGGCCCACATATACCCGCCAGGCCTTGCAATGGTGTGCGATGTGAGCTTCGCATCAACGCACAGCCACTCGGTCCACCCGTTTGGGACGAGACGTGACGAGACGTGACGGGACCTGGTTTGGGACGAGACGCTCGACCTGTTCGCCTTTTCGGGATGTTCGCCTTCACGTCATGTCTTGCAGCAATTATCCAAGACATTCACCGATTCACCGGGTTATGCTGGGCTTATGATTTTGTGGCCAGTATAGGAGGTGTTCAAAAGTGTTTACTTCAATGGCGTGATTTTGTTCATGTCTGGATCCCATGTTTCCAGCCAACACATGAACTCCTGCAAACATGAACTTCGGTCTTTTCAGACATTAAGAGTCTTCTCCGATTCGTAGGCCACTTCAAAGTGTGGTGAAAGACCACTTCAGGTGGAAGCTCCCGGCTGCCTCCAGCCAGGCTCCGCTTGGAGTCCAATAGGGACTTTCAGAACTGTGCGGCAGTGGTTCGTCGCGGCATCTGCGAGGCGTGAACGGTGTGTCGTCCGCTGAGTCGAAGGGTTTTGGAGGCAACGAAGAAAGGATGGCGTGCTTTCGCCTCAGTGAAAGGATGGCGTGCCCCCCTTTCCGCTTGAAGGGTATTTCACACGGAAGGGGGCTGGATTGTTTCAGTGCAACCCTCCAGAACCACTTTCGTCGAGGAGTCTTTGGTCTTTCGCTTTCGAGGAGGTTGGAGATTGTTTCTGTTCATGAAAGAACATCAACATCCTGGCATTGACAAGGTGTGTCCCATGACCTGTAAGACGCGGTAAAAGATGATCCCTATTTGTGAGAAGGGCATTGCTAACATTTGCTAACCATCATCATCCACGGTGCCCCTCCAAACAATGGGATACACCTAAGATTGACCCAAAGTTCTCACAAAACCAGAACGTCTTAGGGCTGGCTTAGGTGCTGGTTTCAGCTGTTGCAGCTTTCTTCCTTTAACAGCAGTAAATCTTTCTTAAAGGACCATCCTGTTTGGGTGTCCTGGCTGGACTGCCCAGCTCACTGCCTATATACCAGCACCCTAAAGGTCTTCCCTACATGGTGGCATTTTCAATGGAGACATCTCCAAAAGCCATGTTGGATCAGCCACTTCCTCTAGGAATGTAGCAATGGAGATTATAACGTTTGCAGGTGCCGTTCTCACCCAGCTTCATGAGGAAGAATTGGGCTACATGGTGGAGAGTGGAAAATATGTTAGAGATTTGAAGACGCTCATTGCCACAAAGATTGGATACTCAAGATTTCGACTAAGACTCTTGAGCGAAGAGATGGGCGAGCTACAGGATGATATGCCTGTCAGACGACTACCAAGTTTGCAGTTAGTAATCTTGGACTATTGTGCGCCTGAAAAGGCCAATTGGCAGGCACTACACCTTGCGTGTGAGAACAATCAAGTTATCGAAGTTACAAGTTTGCTTCAGAAACCACAGAATCCTAATGGGACAGGTGCAGACATTGACCGTCCACCTATGTTTCTTGCTGCAGAACGGGGCCATTTGGAGGTGGTGCGGCTGTTGCTCGAGGCTGGAGCTGACTAGAGCGCAGCAACGCAAGACGGGGCAACCGCCTTGATGGATGCAGCTGAGAATGGCCACTTGGAAGTGGTGCGGCTGTTGCTCGAGGCTGGAGCTGACCCGAACGCAGCAATGCAAGACGGGGCAACCACCTTGATGGTTGCAGCTCATTATGGCCACCCGGAAGTGGTGCGGCTGTTGCTCGAGGCTGGAGCTGACCAGAACGCAGCAATGCAAGACGGGGCAACCACCTTGATGTTTGCAGCTCATTATGGCCACCCGGAAGTGGTGCGGGTTTTGCTCGAGGCTGGAGCTGACCAGAACGCAGCAACTCAAGAGGGGCAAACTGTCTTGATGTTTGCAGCTCTCTGTGGCCACTTGAAAGTGGTACAGTTGTTGCTCGAGGCTGGAGCTGACCTGAACGCAGCAACTCAATGCGGGCACACCGTCTTGATGTTTGCAGCTCAGAATGGCCACCCGGACGTGGTGCGGGTGTTGCTCGAGGCTGGAGCTGACCCGAAGGCAGCAACTCAAGACTGGGCAACCGCCTTGATGTTTGCAGCTCAGAATGGCCACCCGGACGTGGTGCGGTTGTTGCTCGAGGCTGGAGCTGACCCGAATGCGGCAACTCGATGCGGGCACACCGTCTTGATGTTTGCAGCTCAGAATGGCCACTTGGAAGTGGCGCGGGTGTTGCTCGAGGTTGGAGCTGACCCGAACGCAGCAATGCAAGACGGGGCAACCGCCTTGATGGATGCAACTGTCCATGGCCATTTGGAAGTGGTGCGGGTGTTGCTCAAGGCTGGAGCTCGCACCTTTTGCACGGTGAGACTCCGCAGTGAGACTCCTCCAGATCCGGGTCGTGATCGACACCGCTCGCAATCGCGATAGAGACATCTCGCAGTCGTGGCAACGTGGTGATCGCGTGGTGGGCAACGCGTCCGGTGCGATGCTCCGGGATGCTCCGGGACGGCTTCAGGGGACTCGTTTTGCTTGGCTGTCGAAAAAAAACGGGTTCCCAGCCTCGCAGGAACCTCGCCCTTGATGCTTTGGTTCAGTGGATGCCCCTGATAATGGGCATCAAAACCACAAATGCATACCAGGACCATCCAAAAATCCAACGGGTGTCCTGGCTGGACTACCCTGCACTACTTAGGGATCTCTATTGGACAACCATTGGATGGTCCAGTGCACACCAAACATACACACAAACACACCGAACCTTTTGGGGAAGAGAGTTTCACCTCTTCTTCCCTGGCGTGGCTTTGAAAGGGGGCTGCCCAAAGGCAGCGCACCTGTGCACCTTTGTTTCTTTTTCGCCTGGCTTCAATGGTGTCTTCCCAAGAACCATTGTTTTACTGAAGCATGTCAGACTACAACATCCGGTCGTTCCCCTTTTCACGGTCTTCACGAACCGGGGGCCAGACCGACTCGGCCGCGCCCGCGACTGCGAGCAGCAGCAGTCGCACGTTCGCCGGTCAGGCCACGCACGTGAGTGCGGAGCGTGTCCTGGTTCAGAGGATTTGGATGGAATCGTCCGGACGCCCCGGAGGGTCGCAAGGTCACCCTGCGCGCCACGGAGCGGGGTTTTGCGCCGCGGTGAGTGATTTCTGCGCGAGTGGGAGGAGTTCTTTTTTTGACGTTTCATGCGGCCCAGCGGGTGTTTTTCAGCGAGAGGCTCCGGGCTGTGTTGGTATAGGACCTGTTTGGAGGGGTGACGTGTTTTCTTTAGAAGCAGTTCTTGGGATAGTCATGTCATTGATCGGGCTTTCGGCTATTGATTTTGTTGACAGGTTTGAAAGAAAATAACATACAGATAATGACACCCAACACAGATCGAAGAAAAGACACATGATTCCCCTTCATAGGTCTCGGTTCACCCCGGACCCCTTTTGTTGATTTGGGGACTGGACTATTTTCAAAACGTCTTGAGAGCAAGTTTGTGCTCGACATCCCAGGATGCGTTGCGGCATGGTGACTTGATCAACTGCCTAAGAGACCCCATGAGTTCAAGAGTTGGATTTTGACGTGAAAAGCTGGAGCCTCCTATAGGAAAAGTGGATAACCTGCGAAACCTTTTTCATGAGGGATCAAGTGGAAAAGTTCTGTCAACCCGTACTTTCGCAGAGCCACCCTGTGTATGGTTGGGGAAGACGAAGGGCGCACACTTAGATAATGGGTTTGCAGTTACATCTGTTCCACGCGGAAAAGAATGGCTCAACAGCAAGGTGAAGTGTCCGAAAATGTGAAGGTGTTTCAAACAATGTTAATGCGCATCTGCAGCAACTCAGCGGCAGCTCACGAGCGGTGGAAAGCGGCTGTGGGGAATGTTTGGGGGTCTATCGTGAGAAGAACCATGGAAACAAAACACAGCAGCGGGAGCAGTGGTGTCAGTGTGTTGATTGCAGGTACGCCAGACTGATCAGGTCTGGTATCACCACGGATTGCAAGTGTCTTCGTTGGCAGGAGACTTGCAATGGTGCTCCTGCCCCCCTGCTTGCAAAGAAATTGGTTGGTGGAAAACTTTTAGATACAGAGGGTGACACACACACACACACACCTGTGTCTCAAGCCTTGGTTGTAAAGCGATAGTACAAGATACAATACGGATGCTCGACTCGACGCTCTTCTCAAGAATATTTACCACACCCTGATTCTTGGGCCTCCATGGCAGGGGTCGGACCCTCCATAGCAGGGATCCGGGGCCCAAACCAAACCCTATGTGTTTGAGGATCCGGATTCTTCGGGCAGCTAAAATTTCGACATGCTCACACCGCACACCTTAGTCGTGTTGCGCCAGACAGCACCCCTCACATGTTCTGGGCGAGTCAACGCAACATGCTTTTGATGGGCCTCAGGTCCAACTTTGATGCTTGAGCGCATCGCGAGCCGCAGATGTCCCAAAGATGATTGGCTCAGAACACAAAACTCGTCGGGTGGCGCGGAGTTTGCCTGAAACGTCGAGTTTGGTGTTTTCAAGACGCATGGATACATCTGGCTTTGCTTGGGGTGATTCTAACTTGTAATTAAATAGACTTTCTGGGGAATATCATTGTTGTCTTCCCAGCTCCTCGACAGTAAATCCAACTATATACACCACCAGCTGCTCTTGAAGACGTCTTGAACTTAGATTCTGTGACGCAAGCACCCAATCCCTGATATTGAACATGGATACATGGGCTCATATGGGTATATTAACATGATCAGTGAAAAAACAACTGCTTAGGGATTCGGAAAAGGGTCATCTTAACTCGGGGCCATGCCATCCCCGTAATCATGCTTATTTCAGGGAGTGTAGCTGATATACTTGGGATCGAAACTGAGCCACCCATCCCCATGCTGGATCAAACATCGTTCTGGATCCACGAACAACTCCTGCACCCGCAACCGGTGAATTAGGAGTACGTATTGTCCGTTTGGATTCCGGTTAACCACCATGATATTTTTTTTTGGCTGAATTCCGAACAACTGTTTTACTAAGGACTTTACTCTACAACACCAGGTCGTTCTCGTTTTGTTATGGTATGTTATGGTTTTGGAAGGCCAGGGTATGGGCATGGCTCAAGGGAACGACAACCACTTTCAGAGGGACACCATTTGGCCAACCCGTGACAGTCTGTTACTCTTTTGACATGGACAGATCCGGACTGTTCACTGTAGAGGCCCCTACCTAGGGTTGACCAACCTTTAGACTGACCACGACTTATGAGAAGAAGAAAGACGTGTGCTTGGAGCCAGATGGACGCGCGGCCTAGTCTAGGCGCCCTCCCTACAGTCTGGACCGTCTGGATGGCGCCCCCTTGCAGGGGGGGATCTTTTTGCGTTTCTCACGCCCTGGGGGAGGTCTTTGGCCCTCGGGGTCTCCAGTTTTTTGCGCCAACTCGGCAAGAATCGCTTGGATCGAGCATTCCTTTTTGGGTTTGTGCGTTTGGTGTGTTGGGCCGGGCTGAAGGGGTGCACAGGTGAGGTTGGAGTAAGTAGCAGTGTGGCCTGAACACATTGAATCCGTGGGAATGCTTCGTATGCCAGTTTCATAGCTAGCTGCTGTATTTCAGTCACTTGGTCGAGGACGGCTGTATTTCAGCGTGTCCAGGATCTTGTACATACTTCAGTGCCCAGTCGGCTGCAAGTTGTCCTGATGTAACGAAAAGAAAGCAGCCGTGATGATGCCGACAGACTGAGATGTCTACGGCCACTGCTCCACATCTCGAAATCCTTGGAGAAGGTTTCTTCATGTTTCTTTGACACTTGTCTTCCTGGAAACCCAGTCCCTATAGCGGAAACACATGGTTGTTTCCAATATGGCTTGCTTGAAATCCTTTGCGTAGGAAATGGCTGGGACTGTGTTCCATCCAATTGTTTCTGGTTGGGTTTCCAGGTTGGAATGAACCACGTTGTTTCCGTGGAGCGATCGGAGGCCGGGGAGCGATCCTTCGACGGATTTCCGAGGCCGGGGGCACTGAAGCGAACCGGGGCCACAGAAAGTGTGGAGCTTGCTGCGTGCAAAAATGAGTCGTCAGAGGCCCGGTTGGGAAATGACCTGGACCCTCCGTTCGGTTCGGCTGCACCACAAGTAGAGTCAGGTGCTGGTAGGGTTTGGGATCTGCCCTAAGAATCCGAGTCCGGGCTCGACCTCATGGCAGGGGTCGGACCTTCTCCTGACCTAAACGCAGGGGTCGGTCCGACCCGGTTCCCCTTTGTTTTGGTTTTGGGCCCGGATTCAATCCAACTTCGTCTTGCCTTGCTTCTTTGCCCCGAAAGTTGTCCTTTCAAACTTCAGTCGTCTTTTGAGTTCTGTGAGGCTTTGGGAAACTGGGTCCTTCTCCCCTACCCTTCGATCAGAGATTGGGAGATTGGATCTCCCAAAGAAACGCCGTCCAAAAGTAGTGGTGGACCCTTCAGCCGATTCCGGAGTTGGAGGGGTATACGGCTCCCAGCTTCCGGTCCCCTTGTCACGTTTGATACACTACAAGTAGCTCCCTGGTCTTTGCGGATGAAGTGATGTTTTTGTTGATCTTCCCTATGGGTTAAATAATGTAAATCCCCTTCTGCGGAATGGTCAAATATTTTGTCCAGGTTCCTTAAGCAAATCCATGCACTCTGAGGGGTTTCCTGGCATACCCCATCTTCCCCAAAGTCTGTCAGGATTCTGGTATGTCAGACCATGAAAAATGGGTCTTAGGCAAGCATCTAAGCCCATTTGGTGTTTGGATCCGAGATGATCCGAGGATTATGATATTGGTCATTAATGGTCTTGTAATGGAACATCTTCACCATTCATTTGGTCATTCATCAATTCAACTCTGTCCTCAGCATCCAGGGGCCCAAGCTCTTCGGTTGGGAAATCAAGCCTCGGGCTTTGGACCTGAAGTATGTTCCAAAGATGGCCCACCAAAAACTCCACCCCCCCAAACCACCCCAAATATATAGGTCGTTCTCGTTGCGAAACATGAGTTCCATCCGTGTTCCCGAATGATCGGAACCAGGGATCACCCATTTCTTTTCCGGGTTCGTTTTTAGTCCTTAGAACTATGTCACTGGATCGGTGTCCACGACCGGACCTGGGAGGTCTGGGGAGGTCTGGACGATGGTCTAGTGCCGGTACGAGGTTGGCCCACGGAGGATGGTCTACCAGGCTTTCTGGTCTTCCTCGTCAACCTAAAGTATGTACAAAACATGTCATGTCAAAAAAATCATGTAGTTGTTTGTGTCAAAATATCCCTTTGGGATCTTTTTGGTGTTTGGGGTAGCTGTTGAATACTTACTTATCGCTGCTTATTTTGAATTTTGAGAAATCATAGGATCACTCTGCCTCAGATCTCCGGCAAATGAACAGGGTGCCATGGGAGTGAGAGCGTACTTATTTTCTGTGCACAGGGGTTGTCGCAATCACCAGAGGGCATTTGGATATATTCGGATCACTAAATGGCCCTTGTGTGCATATATTGCAACTTTCTCGTTTGAGGCCGTGCGTAGATTGCTTTGGAGATCCTTCTGTGGCTTTG